GGAAAACCCCAGGTAAGCGAGAATTTCTTTAGGTTAAGATCTGCCGAGCCACTGCCTTTAACGGAAGAATCTGGCCTATAGATGCTTTTGCATCTACTCCGCAGCATCATAATCCCATGGTTTCATCTCTGCCAAGCCGTTGCTTTATATGTCTCATTTTCGACCTTTTGACACTTCCGAACCATTCCTAGGTTTAAGCACAAATGAGATTTAGGAGAGGCAGAAAGACAGAACTTGAAGGTTCGCCTCAACATTGCCAACGGAAGTAACATTAACAATCGATGATTCACTATAAATCAGTGATTTAAAACTTTCAAGGACATTCAAGCACTGCTTCAAATAAGTTGCCTGTAAATATGTCTGAATCTGTCTGGCCTTAACACAAATCCATGGAAAGGAAAAATAATATAGCGTAATAGCTTTATGGTTATTCAACTACTTCTATTTGGCCCGATCCTTCATTAACTCGTCCGTAATTATCGGTGGATCTTGCGCATCGTAAAGCATGACGGTTGCAAAGATTATAGTACAGATGATGAACAGCCACATAAGCAACTTTTCCAGCATCCTGAAAAGTATTTGAAATGATAACTTTTGTTTTACACGTTAGAGAATTTGCCTACAAGAATGTTGTGAGCCTCAAATGGTTCTGAGTCAATTTTGCAACCAACCTGGCCAGCATTTGCCACTCTTTTCGAATCCTATTCACATGTTCTTGCGTCAACATTTCTTGTCTTATACACTGCACAGTTTCCAGAAGATCAATGACGACATTGTGAAGAATAGGATCTCCAACTTTCTTAGCCCTTTCTTCGGGAGTATCCTCATCGATCAATGGCAGTCGAGCATGCTGAAAAATGATTGAATTGAATAAATTGAAAGTGTTGATGAATGATGAGTGAAATGGAATGAATGGATGGTCGAATGAATGAATGGTAACAGATTAAATGAAATGAAATGTGAATGAATATTTGCATGAATGACTAAATGATTGTCTGGGATGTACATAGGCGTATTGCTTTTTCTCCACCTGGTAATACAAGATTTGACTGTCTTGAAAATAACCTTTCATTTTATGC